GTGTGTGCTCATGCATGTGTAAAATATAACCTGCTGAGTACATCACTGCCACTCAGATGTATTTTTTAGGGCTGACTACTTGGTATTAGGTAATTAAAGACAGTCATAGACTGGCTTTTTGTCTAGGGGTGGGGCCATGTGACTTACCCTTCTTCAACATTGGTATGTCAACTGGCATTGTCATTATTTGGGTCTTATTTAGGAAAATGTATCCTTGAGATTTCATGGGTACAGCTCTCATGGAAGACAGTATCTCACAGTAGATGCCATATCCTGTAGCTGTTCCAATCTTCCTCTTATCTTTCTCAAGATATTGTCTGAGTCTTAGCTGTAGGTATTGTGTTCTGGATTTATCAGTCGAGAATGAGCACCACAAACTTTAAAGTGGTTTCTGGTTCCTGTTCGATTTTATTTATTTATCCATACCAGCTTATGTGCCACAAGCTTTTGGCGTCGCTTGCTCAACCTCAGCACTGCTGACATCTGAAGCTAGGTAATTCTGTTATTGGGGTGCTATCTTGTGCACTGGAGGGTGTTTATCACATCTTGAGCCTTTATCTCTTAAAAAGGAGCTTTCCTCCATTTGTAAGAAATAAAAATGTCTTTAGACATTGCCAGATGTCCCTTAGGAACCAAATTGTCCCCTATGGAGAACTGCTGCCTTGTGGCATTCGAACAAAACTGACAAGCTAATGAGAATATACCTATTCCATTAGTAGCTGTTAAAAATTAAACCAGTGAGGCAGCTGTATTTCCAAGATTTTCCCATGGTAGTTAATACTTGTTTTCTGAGGTGAATATCTTGGACTGCATTGAAAAATTATTGATTAAATTCACTTAAATTGAAGGCTAAGCCAACCACAACACTTGAATTTTGTAAAAGTTTAACATCTCTTTATCCTTTAGATAAGACTCAGGTTTAGTACATAATACCATTTCCTTTTGCTCAGTTCATTCATATCCCATTTAGAAACAGAACAACTGAGAATTTAAAGATACTAAATTATTACCAAGCTATTGTATTATCACCCCAAGTTCTCCATGACAGCAAATTCTCAGTGTATTCTAAGGACCCATGAGAGTACCCAAGACCCTATCAGAATATTTTTGTGATACTTGCACTTATTAACTTAACATGTATTAGTCATTGTATTCACTATCACCTCATAATTAAAAGAGGTCAAGTCTACTAAACATCCTTGAGAAAGCAAAAGGTGATTAATTCTGTAAATATCAACACCTGTGTCTTTTTAAAGATAAAAGATAAAATAGAAAGAGACATAAATACTGGTGTAGGCGAACATTTCTGTCCCACCAGCCGCTCCCCAAATAACCACAGAGACTTACTGTTAATTATAAATGTTTTGACCAATAGCTTAGGGTAGTTTTTAGCTAGCTCTTAAAACTTAAAGTAACCCATTTTATTAATTTATGTGCTGCCCCCAAGGCTCCTTTACCTCATCTATGAACTTCCATGTTGCTTCTTCGGGATCTGGCTAGTAACTCTCAGACTCTGCCCTTCTTCTTCCCAGAGTCCTCCTAATCTAGCTCACCCGCCCTATCTTTTCCTGCCTATCTATAGGTGAATCGGGTTTTTATTAACCAATGACAGTAATACATATTTATAGTGTACAAAGATTGTTCCACAGCATACTTGTGCTGTTGGCATTTGATGGTAGACATAAGAAAAAGCAGGTGAAATATATAGTAACCATAACTCTAATTTCTGCCATAGTTTTTAATTAGAAGATGTCTGTTATTTTCCTTGGAGATGTAGCCATTTTGTTGAGCCCTAGCCCTTTTAGCAATAACATTTGTTGCTGTATTCATCTGTTTCTTACAAAGATGGTCAGTGTAGCTCAGTCAGTTCCCTTCTGTGTGATAAAAGCTGGGTTTTTTTTTTTCCACACATGTCAATGGTATGCAGCTTTCCATGTACTGAGTTCTTATTTGATGTAGTTCGGATGATTCCCTGAAGCTTGACTTGGGTTCTAGATTCTTCAGTCATTTAGTTTTAACTCTCTGATTTCCCATCTGTAAATCATGTTTGAGTAATCTGAACATGTTCTGTATATATTCTGATTTCTCTGTGATAATTTGGAAAGTATTATCCTAGATTTTAGACTTGTCTTCTGTTTTCCTTTAAAAAAAAATGAACATGTACGCTTCAATTCTTACTGCAAGGATGAACTATACATTGACTTCTGAAGTGTTATTTTGGTTTCAAAACACATTCACTGGTGATACTTCTCAACTTACAGATGAGAAAACTTAAGTTCAAAGTAGTAGATACTTTTCAAAAGCTATACAGGCTGTCAAATGGGACTGCTGAGAGCTGAACCAGATCATTATTCTCCCTGATCAACCATGTGACACTATTTGCTTGACTTCATCTAGGGATGGTGACGTCTTATCACAAGGCTATTTAGAGGATAAGTGAGATTCTCTTCATGGCAGTGTTCTTAAACCATGATGTACTACAAAATACTGTTCAAAATTCAAATTTATACATGTATAACTTTATAGGATTGACCTTAAAAATCTTTAAACAGTGTGCCCATTTTCCATAAACTAAATATACAAGCAACTTGCTGTTCTCTACAAATGTCAGTTGAGAAGAGATTGGCTGAGCAGGAATAGGAGCATCTTCAGAACAGAAGCTAGGGAGTTTTACTCCCCCAGTTCATTGCTACACTCTGTGCTCATCCCAGGACCTTCCTACTTCAGTGTAAAATTCTGACCCAGAGCAGCAGCTTTACCTTACATGTCTGCATTAAGTGGAGGGTATGCCCAGCCACTTCAGGAGATTCTCTTCTTTTAGAGGCTCTCAGGATGCACTCAGTCCACTTGCCCAAATCTAGCAAGGGATCAATACCTTGTGATATGGAAACAAGCAGAAAGTCTATTGACAGTGCTCAGAGAACAATTTGAAACCCTAGAACCTGTTCCCAGAACTAAATGGTGGGAATGCTGCCCTATTGATTAAGCCACTAGATAAACAGACAGTTGGCAAAATGCAGGAAAATTCATTTGAGGATTGAATTTAGGGTGAACCTTGGGCTTAATGACTTACTAGAATTATAACACATTTTTTGTTTGTTTCTTGAGATAGGGTCTCACAGTTTCCCAGAACTGGCAGATCAGACTGGGCTCAAATTTGTAGTCGTCTTTCTGTTTCAGCCTCCCAAGTATTAGGATTAGAGTCATAAGTAACAACTCCCAACTACAATTACTATTTTTTTAATTTTTGTTCCTAAATAAGTTTAATAACAGAAAAATATTACTTGTTATTTCTAACTAATAGAACAAATGAAAGAAATTGCTTTAGTTGTCAATGTATTAATCATTTTTTGCATTTGAGGTTTAGTACTGTGTTGGGCTGAAATAAAAGCATGCATAACGGTTGACGAGACAGTCTACATCCCATCTACCTTTTTCCTAAATAGCATCTCTTAGGGAATACAGTGAGCAAAGTTCAGAGGGAGTGGTAGTGTTATATATGTGAACTGTCTTCTATAAGTGATAAAAACCACATACATACTTTAACATGAAGAGTTCCATACCCAACAAGTTGATACCTGCCTGCATTTTTGAAAGCCTGTTTGAGAGTACATAAGAAAATAAGGAATAGGCAGTGTAATTTGAAGCAGGAGGCTGGAGATTCTTTTTAGCTATATAGATACACACACACACACACACACACACACACACACACACACACACACTCATATGTACATACATTAGTTTCAGACTCAGCATGTGTGATAAAAGTTCTTTAGGACAATCATCATTATCTCTTAATATGAACTATAATAGTTAATTTATCTTTTGTGTTAATTGCTTTAGGTAAAAGATAAGCACATATTGTTTTTTGAAAGTTTAAGAACTTTAGACTAATAAGCCCTATGCCTTACACCATCTGTTGTGGTAAGAAGTTTGCAAAATGGAAAGTAAGGCCTGGTCAGAGCATCAGATTCACTCTTGTCATTGTTTGCTTTAGGGCGTTTTGATTGAGAGAGAACAAGATGGTTGTTCTCAGATTTGAAAAGTAGAGTTTTCCCCAATATATACACTAATGTTTCTGGAATAATTGTTTCCAAGTCATAAGAAACTATTGTTTCATCTAGGATCAATTTATGGGCTGGTCTGTAATTTTTTTCTATACTAGAGAACAGAATAGAATGATAATGATTCTTAGTGTAAGATCTTAAAATTAAGAGGGAAAAAGATTGATTTCCTAAACAATTAATGGGATAGAAGGAATCTGGAGGTGTGGTAGAAATATTCTTTATTTTAATGGTAGTTACAGGTCCAATCCATTTTTTTAAAATCTTGCTAATTGCACACTTATAAAATAATTTATATCATTATATTAAAGTAGCAATTATATCCTAAGTGAACTACGATATCATTCTGTTTAGAAGCCACAAAAGAATTGGCTCTTGCACTTCATATTTATTACTGTTGTATATTATGTTTTCTATGCATGGAGTGTGCAGTTATGTAGAGACCAGAGCAGCTCATAAAGTGTGTTTCTTCTGTCATTCTCCACCTTTCTGCATTGAAATGGGTCTCTAATTGACTGGGAACCTCACTGTTTCAGTTAGGTTGGCTGTATGGGGAGCCCTTCATATCCACCTGTCTGTTCCCCAATGCTGGACTATAGGAATGCGCAGTTATGCCCTGCTTTGTATAAAGGTTGTAAGGATTTGAACTCACGTCCTCATGCCTGCTGGGCAAGTGACCTTAACCACTAAACAATCTTGTCATTTCCTGTATTTCACATTTTATATACAAAAATAATATTTTAAAATATGTTTAGATAGGGTATTCTGGTGCTTATTAGTACTTAAAAGACAGAATTCAGTGTGAACACACTGATGTCCAATGAAGAGGGAAAAGAACTATATTGTGTCATTCCTCTCATAGTGGCAACAAGCATAACACTGTTTCTCCTCTTCCTTTAGCCCTGGAATGAGACCAGATGTAAGCTCTCAGTTGTCTAGCTCCTCAACAGCAACAGGACCACCTCCCAAACTCTGCCTGGTGTGCTCTGATGAAGCTTCAGGATGTCATTATGGGGTATTAACATGTGGGAGCTGTAAAGTATTCTTCAAAAGAGCAGTGGAAGGTAGTGTGTGTTTTGAAGAGTTTCGTTTTTGCTTTATTTTGTTTCTATTTCTCACAGTAAATTTTTGTATCCCAAGTCCACCAAGGCTAGAGACCAATTTAGAGGCAAGCAAGGGAAAATGAAAGGAAGAAGGAGCAGAACTAGAATAAATTGATAAAAATGTTCAGTCTGAGAAAGAACTAAACATTGTAAGGAATATTGCTATGTGAACTGACAGTTTGCTAAGTTTGGACAATCAGAGAATGGCGGATTTCTATTCCCCATAAGCAAGTTGGCTTCAAAGCTATACCAATCAGACAAAAGTGGGTGACACTGGGAATTGGGAGGAATAGCATTCTTTTCTTTCATTTTTCCCTTTTAAATAAGAGGTCATGTTAAGTACTACAAATACCATTAAGACCTGATTTCCCCTCAGGGATATCACAGTCCATTCGAGTAAAGGCCAAATTAACAATTCCAAGTACAGAGATTATCATACAGAGGTCATCTGAAAGGATGATGTTTTAAAGAAGGTGTTTACACTGTAAAAATGATACAGGGTGCACACTCCAGAGGGAAAGATTAATATTAGAGATATTTTATATACCCTATCTAAAAGCATCTTAATGGAATCAAACCAGAAAATAAAGCTAGATTTACTTCTGAAATATAATACCATTACAATCCACTTTTCTTAATTCTTATTTAAAATTAACTCTTTCACTTATTTTTAGGTAAAAATTTGTAGTAGCTACACTATTTTTAAAAATGTTTATCATTTAATTATTTCAGGAAAACCTTTACATGTGTATTGCTAATGAGTAAATTACTTGGCTCTCTTTCCTCTTTTATTTGAATTTCATTGTTCTCAAAGGCATTTACAAGCTCTAAATTTCTATAAATGCTGGCACTCTAACTCAAATTTTTATTGAGACTTGTAAAATCCCTATACGTAGTTTGTAGCTTTTCTTTTTTAAAGGATGACTATATTATATATTTAACATCACATTTTAACACATACTAGAAGTTATACTTAGCCCCCATATTGGCAGTATAAATACCCAAACATAAATCTGAGTAAGTTTTAAGCATTTGTTATTTCTATAAGATGGATCAAGAGTAGATACTTTTTATTTTTTTTTATTTAAGACCCTGGGACTTCTCCATTTCCTTCTGTGCTTCTCTGCCCTGCCAGCCCCTTTTATTACATTCATTTTACCCCACTGTCTGTAACTGACAACTGTCTACCTTATGTTCTACAATACAATGACTTCATTTTCCATGTGTGAAATACACACATACCAAATCAGTTATGGCCCCCTGAGCACTTATATCCTGTTAGGACCTATGTCTGACAGACTGGCAATCCGGTTTGAATAGTTGAAGTGGCAAAGATTGGATT